TCTACTGCTAGACTTATATTATCAAATAAATGTTTATATTGACACACATATTATGAATATGAACCACACATTTTGACAAAAGCAATAGTCAACGATATCTTATGTTGCGAGTTAGCGTGACATGAAGAATATGTAATGGCATCATCTATCCTTCTTAGTATTTTTGTGAAAAGAAAAGAAAAGCGTTTCATTTTATCCACGGAACCTATTTAGCTCCTTGTAGGTAGCAAATCATAAGGCTTATGACAAAAAATGTGAAAATTTGGTCCCCAATTGTATTATGGGGCTGGCAAGTTAAGTGTCCAGCCAGCTAGAGTTAAGGGACCATGTGAAGTGGCTGAGCTGAATTTGGACAAAATACCATTGCCACTACCATCATAATGATGATATTACCATCCAATGGCAATGGGTGAGAGAGAGAGAAAGAGATGGTGGTGATGATGATGGTGAAGAAGAAGATGAAGCCAAAATGGGGTTCATTTTCCAAATAAATGAGTATGGCTTTGGCACTCAATTACACCAAGAAAAGAGACAAAAGGAGAGGACCTAACAACATTGACTACTCCCTCTTCATCCTCCATACTCAGCATCCCTTCCAATAAACTACTCATTTCCCTTGGCTTCTCTCAAGGCCCTACCCCAAAATGCCAACACGTGAATTGCACGTGACATTCCATGTGGACCTTTTCTCCTTCATAAGTTTAGAAAAACTAACCTAATCAAAATAAATCCTAACATAAATATTTTTTTTATACAAACGATAATTAATCTAAATTACAGGAAGGAGGATTTGAACTCAAGTGCAAAATGAGGAGTGGGGAGCACATCTGCTCTAGCCGACTTGAATAATCATAACATATATATAAATTCATATTGGGAGTATTCTTACAACCATCTAACGAAATATTTAACACTATTTGTACTTATCTTTCAAGAAAAAGAACCGTACATCTTGTAAATTAATATGGTACCTTAGCCAACACTAATGGGGATAAAGAATGTTCTTGGTTGGTAAGCATATTTAAATTGTGCTTAGAGGAAATGATTACATCTATAAGTTTTGAGTTTACACGTTATGAATCTTGACCATATGACATATGTAAAACATTTTCTCATGTAAAAGCAAAAGAGGGTTCCAAAGGGTTTGCGTCTACTTTTCAAACACAAGCCTTGTAAAAACAGATGGCTTAAGATAAGAACTAACTAAAAGTTCAAAAACAAACACCAACTTTTTGACAATATGCCCCATTTTGCCTCCATATATCTTCTCCAGCTAATTATCTGTCATAATTTCACGTGGAAATTCAGAATCAACCCCATTCATATAATCCTCACACCCAATTAGTCATTGACTTAACTAAAGTAATTGTTTATTAACTAATTAATTATTATATTTAAAAACAAAATCTCTTTAGCTTTAAGAAATATGCATCCAAATGTTTTCTGAGCATTCAAACTTGATTTCTACAGTAATGATTTGGTTGATTGATTGCAGCACATGATCATGGAAATAAGTCATCTTCCACATTGAGGGCTCTGCAGAAAAGAAACCCAATCCTATTAAATGAAATGAAACTCAAAGGGGGAAAGTTCTAAAATTCAACAAAGTTGGGATATTCAATCACTTTCCATGTGCCGCAACAAAACCCAAGTGCGACTGCCCCCTCTCAACACTCAATCCCGCCTTAGGAGTTAGGGGGACTGTATATTATAGGAAATTAATCGTAGCATTTTCTCGTTACCGACAAATAACAGTTTGACACATACGGGAACAATTTTCCTCTTGTGTTTTTGACGCGTTCGTTAAGTTATATGTGGAAAAGATGCCAAAAGGAATAAGGGAACCCTCTAATATTTATTTATTTTCCTAGCTTCTTCTCCTCTGCAATTAATTTCATCCCCTACTGGCCTTTGTAATGATGACCCTTTGCGCCATCATTGCTATGAAAAGCCTTCTCTCTCTCTCTCTCTCTCTGTCACCAAAGGAGACAGATGCAAACACAAGACAATAGTTATGTGGCTCACCTTTTTCTCCTGGGTTCTGCCAAGACACCCCTGCTATTTAAAGTCCAAGAACTCCATTTTTCACAACCCACATTTTTGTTAGCTTTCTCTTCTCCAGGTTTACACACATTCAACTCTCTCTCTCTCTCTCTCTCTCTCTCTCAGAGAGAAAAGCAGCAACTGAATTGTAGAGGAAAACAATGTGTATGAACTCCTCAGAAATGACTCCATGCAGTCCTCAATACTCTGCTTTTCGCCTTCGAAGGCCATCAAACCAACATAACTTTCGAGTTCACCGCTTAATCAACAGGTCTTGTTCCTTCACAATCTATATATCTCTCTCCCTCCATTTATCTAATCTATCAATCTATCTCTCTACCTATCTATCTATCTATGTCTCTGTTTGTCTTCTTCGGTTTTTTACTTTTTATCTAATAGATTTGTTATATGTATGCTAACAGGAAGAGGAAAACAGCAAAAGAAGCAAAAAAAGGGGCAGAGATAGGAGGGGCAAAGGTAGAGATGGAAATCAAGAACCTGAAGCTATACATGGAGAATCAGAGCATTATAGAAGAGAACAACAAGCTGAGGAGAAAAGCACTTCTTCTTGTCCAAGAGAACCAAGCCTTGTTTTCACAGCTCCAACAGAAGAAGCTCTCTCCCAACAAATGAAACAGTACCAATATATGCATGCAGCAGCACCATGAAACTGAAACCTCATTACCCTAATGTAAACATATATTTAATTTAATGCTTTGCAATTTTCATAAAATTATTATTAGAAAAAAAGTTAACAAGGAGTAGTTCTACTAGGGGCCCCTCTTAGCCTTGATTTGTTCTTTCATCTCCTTGTTGGGGAAGTTCTAAATTCTAATGTCTCATCTTCCCCTCCACCTCACCTAGTTTGTGGGCTAATTTTGGTTAATTATGGATGATTTACCTTTTATGTGTGTCAAGTAGATTAGTATGTGCAATCCTTTTACATATTCTTCTGTAACTTCACTTTCCTTTTTTTTCTTTTTTCTTTTTTCTTATATCTCATGTTTCATACATCTTTCTCTTTGTCTCTCTCATCACGTGACGAGAGAAATATAGAGAAAGGTGTGTGAGACTAGGCATGTGGCAAAAGAAGATATTACCCAGATGTGTCCTCTCAGGGACAGTAGTTTACTGTGAGGGTGTGTACATGTAATGTAAAGGTTATTAAGAAGTCTTTCAGATTGAGATTCTGTGATGCATGTCTCTGTCTGTCTCCTCAAAACTCAGGTGACCCCCCCGATTTGTTAAGAGTCTCAGGTCCCCAAGAAAAAAAGAAAATAAATAGATAAAGAAAATCATCCCTATGTGCATAAATGTTCATATCTTAAACAATGCTTGGCAGATAACCGTCCAATTTGGAGGACAAGTATATTTCATTTAATACTTTACATAAATCTCTTCTGATATTTGAAGGGTGTGTGATTTATCATGTACCTCTATCAAGCCATGCCCAGACTTTGGAATGTTCTTAACACCCCTCACATGATCATGCTTCTAATCTTACTTCTTAGTGATGCAAAATGCTCCTGAAATAAATCAAAAGGAGCAGAAAACAGAAAACTAGTTCATGTTCATTAGAACTCAGATGAGGATGAAACCGAAATCGTATGTTGCGAATCTGATCATAAACGGGTAAGTTGGTTAAGCCAAGGAAGGAAGATGTTTTGATGAACACTGAATCAAAAGCCATGTGAGGGGGCTGAGATATTGAACTGATAAAAATACAAAATAAAAATAAAAAATATAAAGGGTTTGCGGATATTCAGTAGTTTTCTAAATTCAGGTGTTCACTTCGTCAAAATTGGATGATCATGAAATCAGTTAACGAACTGAACTCTCATATGAAATGGGCTGCCACATCACCTGAGCCTATGATGATAGTGGGAACCCACCCAACGAAGCCCAAGGTATGATGGGCTTTGTTTGCTTTGGTTCACATATTTTGCTAAAAGATATAGTTTATTAAATAGCTGCTACTGTTGGTACTCACCTTTGATTATCTTCACTGAGACTTGCTTTCATGAAGCAGAGGGTAAGAAAGACATTTCAAATTTCATCTACAAGCATTATTAGAGGATTGAAAGATGAGAGATTTCTCGAAGCTTCACGCTTTCCAGTCAACTAGAGTTAAAAACAACAATCATGTGTATCTCAGAGCCTCAAGATAGGGTTACTGGCATGTGAAGGACAAAGTAACAGCTTTAACTTTATATAATCACAGGTTGAGCAAGTAATGCAACTGCTCCAGCCAAGGGTAGATGTGATAAACAAGAAACAACACTTTTTGATAATCACATTCAAACACGCTGAAGTTATTGAGACACAGAACCACAAGAGAAAATAACATCCCGAAAACATCAGTATATGTAAATTAAAACAGCATTTTTGAATTCCAAAGGAAGTAACTCCGACAGCCAAAAAACAGAAGTCCTAAACACGAAAACTATCTAATACCGACTCACTAAGACGAAGTCATCGTCATTGAGAACTTTCACATCCTTTTCTCCGACAAAATTCTCCCGCCCAATTTGCTTAACCAAATTCACAAATTCTACCCTCTTGGCAAGAGGAAGAGGCACATATGGCAGCCTGAAGACCGGCCTCACAACACCAAGTTGGGCAAGTGCTGTGTTTAAGCCAATGGGGTTTGGCTCTTGGAAAAGCCACTCAACCAGAGGCATTATCTTTGCATTAAGAGAAGGGTTCTTCCCCCCAAACATCAATTCTCGCATTAAACCTGGAACCAGATTACTAGTAACAGATATAACTCCAGTAGCTCCATGATTCCACCTAGAATCATGGCACTCATCATCATTCCCACTCCAAACCACAATTCCCTTGTCGGTATACTGATCAACACGATCATTTCCAACACACTCCTTGATACCTGCGAAGTTAAAGCTCTGAGCCAACCTGTGAATCACACGTGGGGGGATATCTTGGCCAGTTCGTGACGGCACATTGTATACAATAGTGGGTCCCATTGACATGACACTATCAAGGTGTGCAACCAATCCCTCTAAGGAGGTTTTTCCATAATAAGGATTGATGTGAAGGGCAGCATGCATTCCAACAGCAAAACCCTGTTCAGTAGCATGAATTGCTTCTCTAGTAGAATTGCTTCCAGTGTTCCCTATTACCTTAATTGATCCTCCATAACAGTTGATCGTGTGGCCAATGAGCATTATGTGTTCATCCCAGCTCATCAATTGGCCTTCACCGGTTGTGCCACCAACAATCACACCTTCGGCTCCATTTTCAATCTGCATATTAACCAAAGCATCGTATGCTTCAAGGTCAAATCTGCCGTCAGGTAGATATGGGGTTTTGATGGCTGTTATCAATCTAAGTGACTTTATATCGTCCACTGATGTCCTGAAAACATAGAGCGTGCTTAGCATAAAGAACAATTTGCTCAAATGGAGCATTTACACTTCTAACGAGCTGTCAGGTAGATATGGGGTTTTGATGGCTGTTATCAATCTAAGTGACTTTATATCGTCCACTGATGTCCTGAAAACATAGAGCGTGCTTAGCATAAAGAACAATTTGCTCAAATGGAGCATTTACACTTCTAACGAGCTTTCACATACACATGTAGCACTTCATGTATACACAGTAGTTTTCCAAAGCACATGCTTTCTTATCAGCGACAGTACAGAAGCAACATAACAACACTAAATAACCATCTCTAATAGTGGACAAACATATACAGCTTGACACAACATTAAAATAGTCGTTCAAGATATTTCGTCTAGAATCAGGTAGTCATCTGGATTGCAGGGACCTAGAAATATGAATGAAGTTCATGTTGTTCCGGAGTCTAAAGGCATATCCCACTACTAAAGAACCGAAACATGAGATTTTACTGGAAAACCAAAAATACAGAGAAGCAATGATCTATTCTCACGTAATCTATAAATGTTCAACTGTGCACGCATTTTGATCTTCTAATCCTAAACAAGCTAAGAAAAAATGAAGCCACCAAACATCTTAGAACCAATTCAATATGAAGTTCATCACCCCACATAATTATATACATACAAATTACCTGTTTTTCACTTCAAAACTACGCATTGGAAGATGAAAATTGGGGATTACAGCTGCTCGCGGACACTTCCATTTTGCAGTCCTACTGCTTCGAATCAATACAAAAATTAAATAAATAAATAAAACAATAAAACAATGAAATTGATAAACTAATTAATCAGTTGATGAATTTTGTACTCTGTTTTTCTTTAGCATACAGATTTAATTAATTAAAGTGTAGTCTAATTTAATACCTAAAATAAAAATCTCTAATGGAGAACAAAATTAAATGACAAATATGAGTGAATTTAAAATTTTAATTAATTAAATACAAAATAAAATAATATAATATAAGAGAATGAGATAAACCTCATGTAGTTATCGGTAAGATGGTGACGCGGAAGCTGGAGAGCAGACTCTCTCAAGCACACACTACAGCTCTGGAGCGTAGCCATTACTAAGACACAGCGCGAACCCGATTGCGATTCTTAGAGGGACCCGACCCCAAACAGAGAGCGAATTCGGAAGCCTGAAGCTTGAAGGAGAAATGGAGGCAGTGGCAGAGTTGAAGTTTCAGTGAATGCTGGTGGCGTTAGTGGAAATGGAAATAGTCATGAGAATCGTGGTGGAAGGAGTTCGGGGGAGAGAAATGCAGAGATTGACGGAGCTCCGATTGGATTGGTGGGCCATGTAATCCGGGTACGGGTCAATAAGCGGACGACGGAGGCTGCGAGCGAGAGTGTATCTCTGTTCTGTGTGTGCGTTGTTTATTAGGGTTTTGTGTGGTGGCAGCGAGTGTCTATGGCTGACTCGGATGTTGACACGTGTAGATTTTTTTTTCCTGAGTTTTTATTATTTTGGATATTCTTTTTATGACATTTTAGTTTTTCTTTTGGAGTAAGCTAAATTTGGTCCACTTTGATGTCTCTTTGTACTATTAGTCAATTTACAGGTTGGAAATTTTGTTTTTGGTTAAGAAAATAACTTTTTTTTTTATCAATTATGAAATAAAGTATGTGTGACAGATGTCTTGGCTACTATGGACCAAAGACGTTGATGGCTAACTACCATTGGATAAAAGTTCAAAGGTTGGGATCTAAATTTAGTTCAAATATTTGTGTCATAATGGCATGTTTACTAATCCGCAATTAAATTAGGAAGAATTGAATTGAGGATAAATTAAATTGAGGAGAATTAGATTCCAGATCTTTATTAAAGTTGTTTACTAAAACATATATATGGATTGAGGAGAGTTAGATTTCAAATTCCTATTAAAGTTGTTTACTAAACCATATGGAATTGGGGTATGAGTGGTTCTAATTACTAAAATATCCTCATTGTTGAGTTAAAGTATATGGTAAATTTTAAAATTTTAAAATTGTGTGAAGATATAATGGGTAAAAAAAGATGAATTCATAATGGGTTAATTCTCTAATAATTAGAATACCACCTCCCACCTAATAATTGAATTCCTCCAAAAGCAAGAATTCAATTTCTAATTTTGTGTGGGCCTCATCTACTTTTTAATTCCTTAATGTTAAGTAAACGCAGGAATTCTCCATATGTGGAATTCAATTCCTGATTAGTAAACACACCATTAATGTTTTGAGTATGCATCCGTGTAGGGTGTGTAAGTTTAGTATGTTATCGCCCTTCTTAATAAGAAAGATCTTCAAAAACTTAATGTTTTGATAAAAGAAATTATTTGAGTTTTTTTTTTCCCACAAAATAGCCCATTTACATATTCCTCATTAGAAAAACAACTATTTACATAATTATACCAAAATGAAGTACAAAAAAACATGATATGGAGCCAAACTTTTATTCAATTATTTTTCCTTTTCCTTTTATTTTGTTGTTTTGGGCCAGAGAATCCGGTCAGATTCATGCCTAATAGAAACATGTTATGGGAAAAGGCGGTGATAAAAGAAAAACATGAACACATTTAATAAGAGTGAAATTATTGGTCAAAGGATGACCCTATAATGTCAAGTCATTCCATGTGATTTGCTGGCCCTTGTGGTCTCCTACTTTGCTGCTAATCATTTGATTAGGCTCTTTTTAGGTAGTTTAGCTGAGATTTTTTTACAGTTATTTGTATTTTTTATGGAGCCACTTTTTTGGTTTAAAGGCAGAGTAGATTTAGCACCCCTCTCTCTCTCTCTC